CAGCTTTCACCGTGGACGAAGCGGAGTCCAGCCCGGGGTCGTCACATGTGGTTGCCGCAGGCATCACAATATGGGAAGGGATGTAACATTTCCGTCACACGCTTGAGGAATTCGGCCAGTCACAACGCACTGGATAGCTGGCCAATCAGAGCACACATCGCTTTTCAGAACGATGAGCTTTCTAAAAATCAACGCGGGCGGGGCATGCGGGGCATAGAGGACAACCAATAATGTACAGTATGTGGAAAATAATGTGTTTTTTTAAACATAAACACATAGAGGACAACCAATAATGTACAGTATGTGGAAAATAATGTGTTTTTTTAAACTTAAACCGCATAAACACATTTAATTACACCAAATAATCACGTCATATGACCCCTTTAATCTAAACAATGTCCCAAACCGTTTAGTTTTACTAAACATTTAAGTAAAACTAACCTTACAGCCATCCAACAGGTCATCAACTCGACAAACAGTCATGTCAGAATTGGATATTGGATCAGGAGTCTCTATGTGGCTGATTCCTTCTGTTGTGAGGGCTGTTTCATTGACATGATATTGGATGTAAACTTAATAAATCAGACATTGGAATTAGTTATAATTCTAATCTACTCAGTTGATATGTTTTATTAAATAAATAATTATAACACTTAACTTGTATAGGGTCAATATACACACTAGCTTTCGAAAGTTTGGGGTCTGGTAAGATTAAAAACAACAAATTGAAAAGTCTCTTATGCTCACCAAGGCTGCATTTATTTGCTCAAAAATACAGTAAAAAATGGTAATATCGTGAAATATTATTACAGTTTAAAATAAATGTTCTCTATTTTTTTTATATTTTAAAATGCATTTATTTACTGTGATGGCACTAGGGCTGGGGGATATTTCCGATTTTATAGATTAATTCGAATTTAATGTTTTGCCATGATTTTATTTTTTATAAAGTGAGGAATCACGATTTTGAATAGAAATATTACCAAACGTTAGAATTAGTCAACCCAAATATTCCGATGTGTCCAGCGCATTTTATGGAGGACTGTTTCCTGATCCTGGGAGAGTAGACTACAGTGCTGGCTGTTCTGACTCACAGTCTGTAAGGACGTTTTCATATTTAAAGAATTTGCCACAGATGATTCAAACACGATTTTTGAGCAGTGTAGAGTAGCGCTTGTTGTTTGTCGTTTCTCATAGAAATATTACCAAACGTTAGAATTAGACACTTTGACAATATGCCAAAGTTAACAGTAAATAGAAAAGAATGATCCAACCGCATGTCGGCGCACATGATTAACCGCTCACGTGTGACGCGCTCTGTGAAGGACCACAAGTAGAATATATCACTAGGTAGGTGCCATTCACACTGAATGCGCTTGTGTTGACAAAGATGCAACGCGGGCAGTGGAATAGGAAAAAATGCAGAAAGATGGGATTTGAACTTCTTTTAACTTGAGCACCGCGTTTTTAGAATGCCGTTTCATGCATGAGACGCTGCAGGAGACATGAGAGCAACAGTCAAACATCCATGTTTATACAGAAAAAACAATGGAAAATCGAATGAAAACCTGTAAAGAACTACTACTCTATGTCTGAAATTTCATGTTTGCATCATGGTGACAGGCTGTTCATTGTTTTTACAGAGCATTTATAGCTAATAATTGTCTACTGATGTTATACCTTCAGTCGTTTTGAATTTGAATTATCTTGACTTTTAAGATTTTTTTTAAAGCACTTTCCTTGTATTATTTCTGAACATATAATATGTATAAGACAGGTCTGTACAAGATGTAGTTGTAGTTCATGCATCTTTTTTGCAAAAATATTTAACAAGTGATTTGTTTAACATTTACATCATGTTGACAACTTCTTTAATTTCTGCTTTAAATTTCTTTAACTAGAGGGTTAATAAAGAAAAAGTTACTTGAATCATGTTGTAGTAACATTTTTAAGTTGACTAGCTAAAAATCGTAAAACGTTCTGAAAAAAAAAAAAAGTTTTTTTTTTTCCATATCGCCCAGACCTAGATAGCGCAACTGAATTTTCTCCCATTACTCCTGTCTTCAGTGTCACATTTAACATAATCCTTCAGAAATCATTCTATTATACTGATTAGGGATGCACCGATCCAATACTCCATTTCAGTATCGGCTCCGATACTGCCAATTATATATATATATATATATATACGCGGTAAAGTTTAACTTTCTCGAGATGTACTAAACATTCTCTGAAACATCAAAGCTGCATTACAACACTAACGTAAGTCCGCGAAAAAAAAGTTAATCTCAACAAACTTTCTCAACAAATCTTCTATTTAGCTACAGTGCGCTGAAGTAAAACCTGTACATTTCTATTAAAACCTCGCACATTTCTTCAGGTTTCAGTACAGAAAAAAAAGAAACTATATACTTTTATATGAAAACGACATTTCTTTCTTCAGTTTTGTTCCATAGGGATTCAGGAACAATACGCCTCTCTTCCGAACCAAATCCTGTGAGGAATGCCTGAGCTATCTTTCTAAACTTTTCGTCATAGAAAATGTTTGTAAAACTTACTAGTTTCATTCAAAACTGCGTCCGTACAAAGTTGTGGGTGAAACCCTTGATAACGGGACCGTTAGCTTCAGTCACTGGTATCCTCGCGAGCTCCGGACTCTCCTCGACCTCAGCACATAAATTACGGCGCGCGGGCAGTTCATAGCGCTCTGTGAGAATGCAGAGACGGGCTGGGGGAAGGGCGGCGCTATTACCTGCAGCCCCTGCCCTGCCCCCAGACACACACAGAATGGGGGCGGGGGAACTACTGAGCAGTGCCCACCCTTGAAAAGAGATTAATTTATCCCATCAAATCTGTAGTTTTAGAGCTTTTACTTCATGCCTTTTATCTTTAAGGGTACATGCTAGTGTACACTTAAAATCACATTTAGAATATACTCCTAATAAAACACAAATGATGCACTATAACTTTTTGTCCAATCAAATGAGCTTCATAAGAATTTTCCTCCCACTCAGTGTTGGGATAACGCATTACAAGTAACATAAATGACTTAATCAGATTACATTTTTTTCAAGTAACTAGTAATGTAATGGATTAATTTTACATTTTTTTATAAAATGGGCTATCTGAGTTACTTCTTCAAATAAGTAAAACCAGACAGACTGAATGGATTGTCAACACATCCCACCGCTGTATGGCCAGATGAGACGCAAACTACGTTTTCTCGACTGGTTTTCTCTCGCTAGTAAAGTTTTGATGGATGAACACTGCAATCAAGATAAAGACGAGACGATTACGGTGGCATACAGGAGTCGTACAGTAAGCACGCGTGAGTCCGTTATATTAATGCGTGTATGAGTGCTCTTG